TGAAATCACTAGACTCTATTAAAATTGTGCGAAATTACAAACCATCCTGTAAGCTTACAGATAAAGAAGAAATGCTACATAGCTGCTGATATGAAGCTTGCAGTGGACAAGGTTCGTGTTACAGTAATGCTCAATGGCATGTCCATGGATACAGTAATATCACATTAATAATACGGTAATTAATGAACATCATATCAATAAAGGAAAAACAAGTAAAAATCACAGAAAATGTCATTTATTTTACATCTACATCATGTACAATGAAAGAGGAGGACTTCAGAGTACTGTTAGTAATAGATGAGTACACTCTGCATGCTTCAAATGTTTGAAATTGAGTTTTATTTCAAGTGTCCCCTTTTACCCCATTTCAAGATTAATTCAGGAGCCTTTTATATTGTGTCTAGCGCCTTACAAATAGCATATGGAATTTTTTTGAAGATGCCATTCGATAGCCCTCGCAAAGAGCTATAAAATGAGCCTAAACTTGTTTCTGAAATGTTTCATGGTAAGAAGTTATTAACAAAAAACGCTCAAAACTGTCTCTTTTTACCCCGTTTGACGGGAAATAGGGAAACTTGAAATAAAACATGATTTTTAAATGTTTGAAGCATGCTAAGTGTACTCATCCATTCATAATGCCTAACAGTACTCTGAAGTCCTCCTCTTTCTTTGTAAATGACGTAGATGCAGAATAAATGACATTTTCTGTGATTTTAACTTGTTTTACCTTTATTGATATGACATAAACCTTGTCATATTGACACCAACCTGCAACTGACACCAAACTTGCTCCAACCTGCATTGACACTAACCTTGTCAACTGCAAGCTTCATATCAGCAGCCATATAGCATTTCTTCTGTATCTGTAAGCTTACAGGATGGCTTGTAATTTGCACCATTTTAATTTGGTCAAGTGAATTCGCAAAAGAAAGATTGCTTGCAATCTTGCAATATTTTACTGACAACTATCATATTTTTTGGAGAAATAAATCTTAGTTTAGGTTAATTACTCTTCATTCTATGTTGCCTAGTGCACAATCTATCTATGACACTCCAGGGTGCAGAAAGTGGGTGAATATCAAAAGATCTTTAGCAAGGCATCAGTAGCAAAATTTATGCCTTCAGAAGATCTTGCCGACATATTTTGATTGAAATTATTGCATTTTGGAAATAACTTTGATATTACTGCGATTACTGCAAATCTGAAAGACCACAAGCTCACACAGTAAGGTTTCCGATATGTTGGATGGATTAGGTTGCAGTAAAGCTTGTCTGGAAATCAGTTGTGATGAGTGTGTGTTGCAGTGCATGAAGAGTAAGGGATATACTATGAAAGTTGCTTGCAGCACTTTCATATTGAAAATTACCAGGTGACGCATCTTGAAAATGGCTGGCGACGCTTTGGGCTGAAAATCCATATCTTGCGACACTGCTTGCAAAGTCTGCATGCATTAATTTTTCATTAAGCAAAATTTTTCCACGAAGCAAGCTAAATGTAATCAAAATTCTTTGTTAATTTTTTTTTTGTTAACTGGAGCCTTTGCTTACTGTGGTTCTACTGTAGATGTGTTTTTAGGTATGTCCCTTATTACTACCCTGTCTTGCGGAAATGGCCACCATTTTTGGGGGATGAGCTATGCAAATTCCACCAGTCACGTTTTTTGAGCCAACACCTGTATGCAACTTTTATGTAAGTAAAATTTTTAAATACAGCAATTTTTTCTACAGACCTTAGCAGGGGTACTGTTATAACATCTTGCTTTTCACACTTTTTTTCATAGATTTTTAGAGGTAGTAAATGTATGATTTCTTAACTTGCTTTATGATACAGAGATAGGACAAATATTGAATTGAGCTTAGTTATGAATTATGCTTAGTTATTGAATTGAGCTTAGTTATGCAATATTTCAATTAGTCAAGTTGCTACAACAGTTCTACAAAATGTCAGAGGACTGTCCATTATTACCCTGCCAGTCCCTTATTACCCTGTTTGACTTTGACGGTATTCAGTGTCAATGGTTTGATTGGTTTCTAAATTCATCTTCAATTACCTGTTGATTTTTCACAATATTTTGTTAGTTAATGACTTGAACTTGGCTTTGATTACCTACTCGCAAATGTATGACGTCACCATTTCAACCATCAATGAACGCATGGAACTAAAACAAAGCTTAATATAAAGGAAAAACTAGAGAAGTGACGGAATTACCTACGATGTCGGAATATACCGCGTTTACCCTACATTGATGATGGAACTAAAACAAAGCTTAATATAAAGGAAAAACTAGAGAAGTGACGGAATTACCTACGATGTCGGAATATACCGCGTTTACCCTACTGCCAAAACACTAGGTCTGGGCCATCTAGCGGGAAAATGTTGAGATCCAAGGACCAAAGAGAGACGGTGCATGCCACTGCATCAGTCTGCATGGCTGCATGCCACCCAATGAGATCATCGAAAAATGTGTCAAAGTTGACAGTTGACCAGTTGACCTTGCTCTACCAAATAGTAATATAAACTGTTTGTGTAGAAAGAATATTATGGTTTGAGACTTTTAAATACGTCTGTGAATATAGGCCTATTAGGAATCCTTTAACTGCTTTAAGTATACTTGTATTTGCTGATTTCAAGTGGTAAATAAATTAATAGATGATTAAGTTAAGGAACAGATTTAGACACATAAAAACTAATTCCAACACAACTTGAATTGGACACACACAGCTCGTTCCAAGCTGTGTGCAGAAATTAAAATTTTCCTAATTAAAAGCCTAATAGCTGTTAATTAAAAGCCTAATTAAGTAGTGCTCAATATTCAAGTGTTCTAATTCAAAGCTGTGCCTGTCCATTATTACCCTGCCTGTCCCTGATTACCCTGTTTGACTTTGACGGTATTCAGTGTCAATGGTTTGATTGGTTTCTAAATTCATCAAGTACCTGTTAATTTTTCACAATCTTTTGTCAGTAAATGACTTGAACTTGGCTTTATTACCTACTGTTACTTAGAATAAATTGAAATTTTTACCCATTATGATAGCTGAAACAGGCTGCCAGCTGATGTTTGTTTATGGGCAGTTGGTCTTGGTGCGTTGTCAGGTGGCTTGGGAGGTCCTATGCAATGGATTGTTTCTAAATGTCAAAATACCATATATTTTTTAGATTATATTCGGAATGTCACAATGTCTGCCTCTTTACAAGTATTTTTGAAGAAAAATCTTGGAAGTTAAGGTATTTTTGGTAACAAATCCTCAACTTAGAATACTGGCAACACTTTATGCCTAAAAATATAATCCTTGCAACCAGGGTTGGCGATTTATTTTATTTTTTTGATTTTTTCAACTTTTTTGTCTTTTTGATGTGTTATTTTTTATGTTGCAATTAGCCTACTAACAATAACAGTACCTATATTGATCATAATGGATGGCTAAAAAGGGCATTTATTGCCTTCAATAATGGCCAACAGGCCAAGGTTGTGTTTACCACTTAGGGATTTTTGGGTAAACATTATTGGTAAGTCTATTCATTAGCTTTGTAAAGTTTGTATGGAGCAAGGTAATAAGCTAAATATTGACCATGTAACTGGCTTCAATATACAAAAACACTTCAGGAATGCAGATCTTCTAAACATTGAAGAGTCACATAACAGTACGTAACAGATAGGTAGCTGATAGCACAGTGCACAGCACTATCAATAGATCCACTAGTTTTATGTCCTAAAAATCTACCAGACTCTACCCTCTATACA